AAAGCACACATAAGTGCCAAGAACATCAGTTACATGGCTGAGCGAGTGCCATTTGGGCATATAAAGTCAAATAAGATTTAGCTCTCATGGTCTGCAGTCACTATCTCTGAAGTGATGGTATTTACCAAATTGTAAGTTAAAAAAAGGAGTCTATTCTGCAGCTGCTGGGAAAGGTATAGTATTGCATTAGTTTAATGCAAGGTTACCATCACTATATTTTTAGATAGAACTGAACATTTTTTGTGAGATTATTGTCCAAAAAAAATGTGATTTTAATCACCCTGAAATATTTAGCAAACTCAGTTTGTATTTGTAACCTGAGTCTGATTAGTTGGAATTGAAAAAAATGTCTTGGCCAGATTCACAAAACTAGTTAGAAGAAATTAGTTTATGGGCCTTATTACAGCTTATGGGTTAGGGTCAAAAGTTACATACAAACCAGTTTAAGTGATCAGAAACCAGTTTAAACCTGTAACAGGACACAAGTTCAGTGCACTTAAATCCTTTTTAAAATGGCCAAAACTAGTTTAAGATAAACTTACGTAGTATCAGACTTAACTGATTTAAGTCCAGCTGGTTTATGGAACTTCTGTTCCAGATCTTTTCCCAGTTCATTTTAACTTCAGTCTCCCAGCATCCCAGGATGCTTTGACCCCCTGGGCTGTGCTTTCTTAATGGAGCAAGGTTTGACCCACTCCCCTGCTCCCTAGCTAAAGCACTATCACTCCTCTAGGTGGCTGATGAGGGAGTTGGGGTGAGGGGGAGCTGTACACCCCCAACACACCTACAGGCTTGGCAGCACCAAACTGACTAGCACCACAAATGAAAGGGACCTGGGGGTAATGATAGACCACAGGATGACTATGAACCGGCAGTGCGATGCTGTAGCCAGTAGGGCAAATAATATTCTGGTGTGCATCAACTGATGCGTCTCCAGCAAAATCAAGGAGGTGATTCTTATGCTCTACTCAGCACTGGTGAGATTGCAGCTGGAGTACTGCATCCAGTTCTGAGCACCACATTTTAACAAGGACATGGACAAGCTTGAGAGAGTCCAAAGAAGAGCCACCCATGCAATCAGAGTCTTACACGGCAAGCCATGTGAGAATAGGCTGAGGGATCTGGGACTCTTCAGCCTGAGGAAAAAAAGGCTGAGGGGGGGGACCTGGTAGCAGCTTACCACTATGCTAGGGGAATACATCAAGGGCTTGGTGAGCAACTGTTCACCAGGGCACCCAAGGGGAAAACGAGGAGCAATGGCCACAAACTCCTGGAAGATTGATTTAGGCTCAACATTAGGAAAAATTTCTTCACAGTCAGGGTGTCCAGACTGTGGAATAAGCTGCCTCCAGAGGTGCTACAATCACCCACCCTAGAAATCTCCAAGAGGAGACTAGACAGTCACCTTTCTGGGGGTCACCAGACTGCCAGTTATCTTTCCCACTTGGTGCAGTGGGCTTGGACCAATGTGCCCAGCACATCCCCCCAAACCCTTGCGGTCCCCCTCTTCCAGGGGGGAACAGTCCCTCCAGCTGGGGCCTGGCTGGATCCCCCAGCCTCAGTTTCCCAACCTGCCCCTGGTGCAGAGAGGGGATTTTTTCCGTTACCACATTTAATATTAGACTTTAGGTGTTAAGGTGGGGGGATGTACCCCCCTAGCCTGGCACTGTGCGCACAGCTAGGCTCTCCCTGGTGTTGTTGGGGGAGAGGGAGGGGGAGGCCTGCAGCAGGGGCTTTAATCCCCCTGTCTGCCTGGAGCCAGTTGTGATTCCCCCATCTATGCCCCACCCCTGCAGTCTCCAGTCCACCCTATGATCCAGCATCGGACCCCCAGCAGGTCTCTCCCTGGTGTGTGTGCGCCTGGGATCCCATAGCGGGGTCTTTACTCCCCCTGCCTGCCCAGAGCTGGAATCTGGGCTTGAGTCCCTCAGCCATGCCCCCTCCTCATCCCTTGGGCCAGTGAGAAGGGGATGCTGGGGTGGGGGGAAACCCACCACCACAGCCTAGAACTCAACCTTCAGCTGGGATCTCCTGCTGAGGACTTACCCTCCATTATGCCAAGGAGGTCCCAGCTGGAATGTTTGCACTAAGGTGCAGCCTAGAGTGGCTATATCTTGGTGTAACCTGAGCTAGGTGATATGGATCAGAGAGAATCCTGCCCTAGGGTGGCATAACTTTAAGGAGTGCTTAAAAGTAGTTTCAGGTATTAATGTGCAGACAATTCAGGTGTTAAGAGTTCCAGGAACCATTCAAAATTACCATGTAATTAGGCCATATCTTTTATGAGATCACTTTCTGGCAGGGTACTCATCAAAAATGGAAAAGACCTGGTTCAATTCTCTCCTCTGCCCAAATGTGATTTGAACATTAGTTACCTGCCTCTGAAGAAAGAGCCCTACTCCCGTGGTTAACAATTATTTTGGGGTTGGCTGCTTGCCACCTCTCCTGGTCCCATGTTTCCTCTTTCATATAAGTAATTAGCATTTATTGACCAGGCACAGAACAAGGGTGAATAGCCTGGCTGTTGGGACATTCAGCTGGGAACTGGGCAGTGGGTTCCATACCCTTCTCCAATGATGGTATAAAATTTATTCAAAGTGGAACAGAAGAGATAAAGAACGCTGTACTCCAGAATGCCCTGTACGATGATGGTAAGCCCCCTCTTCTGAGAGAGGAATGACAAAGGTTCAAACTGCCTTGGGCAGAAGAGCTTGTTCCTCTCATGGTTATGGAGAAAACTTTGAAAGTATGAAGCCTAACAATATATTTAAAAAGTATCCCTTATTTGATGACTGATTCATAAATTTTAAATGTTTGGAGTGGAAATCATAAGTAGATATCTTTTTGCTAATGTTGCTGGAATGTCTGTTTTTCACTATCAAAGTTAGAACAAGGTGGGGGATTTTGTTGTTGTTGTTGGGTTATTTATTTATTTATTTTCATTTTAATTAATGGTCTTGAAGTCAAACACTCAAAGGGCAAATAGTACTCATGGGTCAGTACACGCCAACAAAACTAGTCATTACAATGCATCTATCTTACTTGCATCTATCTTACAAGTTTATTTTAGTGTATATTCCATGATGCAGCTAATGCTGACTCACCATTTCTACTTAGCACCCATTAGTCGTTAATATAAAAATGATGAGCACTGCATTCTATTCACTGGTTATGATACCTACAAGATTTTATTTTAATGTTGAAAAAATTGGTAAACTAATTCCAAATTACATTTTAGTCCTTAACTGTAGCAGACTCAAACTTGTTGTGATGTACTTTCTGCTCAGTGCCTAAGGCGTCTTCTAAATCATTAGCACAAGTGCTAAGGGATACAGTTAGATGTATTTAAAAACATATTGAAACTGAAAAGTACAGAAAACACTTTATTTAATGTTACAATAAACTCAGAAAAATATTATATTTAGATTTTTTGGCTTTAACCTGAATTTCTTTTTGAAATTTATAAAAGACTCAAACATATTTGACAATGATATGGACACAACAGTACTATTTGCTATGGTTTATTTTCTACAATCTGGTTAAATGTAGCATGCAAATAATTGAATAAAAATACACGTACATATGACTTACTGTGAAATAGCAATTCTACCAGTAGCTGATAAAAATCTTGCCATGAATGTTTAAATGTAAATATGACAAAAAACAACAATAAACAACTAAATACCTGGAAAAATATCTTGTTTCCCCATCATCTGTCAAGTATTTCATTAATTTCAGTCTTCCTGGGACTCTGAAAATGTATTTTCTTCAAATTTTATAATTTTCTTTGCTAAATTTTATGCTTTTCCTTAGTGATTGCTAAAAATGTCAAAAGCATGGATAATTTGAATATTGAGTGTGACCTGGCAGAGTATTGTACCTATACACAATTTAGCCCTAAAATACCATTCAGCATCCTGCCCAAACTCATCTGACTTCTATGCAAACCTTAGCAAGACTCTACACTGCAGGGCATGGGACAGAAGTTATGCATAAACCAGTTTAAGTAATCAGAAACTGATTTAAACCTGTAACAGAACAGAAGTTCAGTGCACATAAACTGGTTTCCAAATAACCAAAACCAGTTTAAGATAAACCTGGTTAGATATAGTATCAGACCTAATTGATTTAAGTCAAACCAGGTTTATGGAACTTCTGTCCCAGATCTCTTCCTGGTGCAATTAATTTGCAGACCTCCCCAGCATCCCAGGATGCTTTGCAGCCCTGGGTTATGCTGTCTGCTCCAGTGGAACAGGGACTGCCTCACTCCTCTGCTCCTTAGCCTGTTTCCTGCCTGCATGCATTAGCTCATAGAGATGGGGGCGGGGAGGAGAAGAGACCCCCAGACAACTCTAGCCAGGGTCTACACAGCACATGGGGGAAGGAAAGTCCCTTTGGTGGGTGCTTTTCAGCTCTTGGCAGCCCTCTCTCTTTCCTCCTCCCCATTCCCAGCTGCGGATTGCTTCAGCGGCTGCCACAGGAGAGAGGAAGGAGTTGCCCTGGCTGGGTGTCTGCCATGCAGCCCAACATGGAGGCATCGGGGAGCCCCTGTCTTGGGGTGCTTCCTCCACCCTAGTCCTACGTCCCCTAGCCTGTGTAGCCCTAGGTTGCTGAGGGGAATTTTTCCCCTCTGGAAGGGCAAAGCGGCTTGTCTCAACCCCTGCAAGTCTCAGGCAATTTCAGGGAGTTGGAGGTAAATTCTCCTGCTCCTCCCTAGCTGGTTTTGCTTTGGGTACTGAGAGTCTGAAGCAAAACAAATGCAGGGGAGCAGAGGAAATTCCCTCCGCTCCACCTTTCCCAATTGAAAACTGAATGTCAGTTCAGTTGGTTATTGGTTCAACCTACACAGCTTAAAGGAAGCTGCCTAGAATGAATGAATTTAGCCTCCTGTTTTTTGACTGTCTGTACTTAGCCCAGATGGTATGTGTGTGTAGTTGTGTGTGTGTTGTTTGTGAGTACAGAAACTGTTACAACTGTGATATTTATTACTTTCAATTGAAAGCTAGATGGGGTCTTTATTTTTGGCTGAATCAGGTCCTTCTCCTATTTCCTAACACAGACAACTGAAACTATTTGTAAAACTATGCACAAACATATTTTTTAGGATCACCATGTTCAAGCTAAATATTAACAAACAGAATAGATAATATGCAAATTGACACTTGGTATATCCTAATTTTAAAGAGCGAGTGTGATGTAAATCATATGATTATGGCCTTTAGAAAGAAATTAAAGGTTTTGAGGCCCATCACTCCAGTGAGATCTCTGTAGCTATACGGAGACAGTTGTACATTTCATGTGGTAGGTCAGCTCGAGTGAGATTATTTCCATCCAAGCGCAAATGTGTTATCTTGGAATAGGTTTGAGGTCCGACAACTTTACAAAAACTGCTCAGTGGAAACTCTGGAACACAAATAGAAGAAGAAACATATCATTACTGCAAATAATTATAATCACATACTTTTTAGCACATTAGTTAAAAATTATGATTAAGGTTAAAAAAACTTTTAATGGCCAATGTTCAGAAAACTCAAGGCTCAATGTTTTTCAGGTGCTCAGCGCCCACAAATGGCAGTGGCAACATGTAGGGGGCGCACATGCATCCCCTGAGAGCACTGGTGCATCCTCTGTCAGCCAGCATTCCCGAGCAGGTGAGAACGCTGGTGCCTCCCCTCAGAACGCTGGCTGGGGAGTGCACCAAGAGAAGCAGTCCTCCTGCAGCCAGTCCCGTTGACCCAGAAGTGCCGCTGCCAGGTGCAGATTGACAGAATCAGCTGCAGAGGCCCCCCCCCCTCCCCAGCCTGTGGGATTGGCAGTGGGGAGACTCTCCCACCCCCCAGTCACTGACTGTCTAGTCAGGGTAGCAAGTGCCACCCCACCTGACTCAGGAGGCATCAGTTGCCCATGACAAATGGTGTCTCATAAGGTAACAGCTTCAAAATAAATGGCCGAATTTTCAAAAATTCTCAGCACTAATGGGTGGAGGGGGCATGCAGAACAGCCTTTTTGGCAGACAAGGTTCTTTGGGTGAATCTGATATCTTTTATTAGACCAACTTGCCTGTCCTTTTACCAACACATACTCCTAGTTCTATTTGGGAAATTGTGGAGATGTAAAAAATCTACTAAATGGAAAGGCTATAAAGAGAGAGGAAATGTCCTTACAAGGTGTGAAAACAGATTAGGGGTATGTAGTATGCAGGGGATGCCATCCAATGGGAATCTGTCAGGTGCTGCATTTTTAGTATTTTGTTTGGTTTATTTCATCTCAAAGTAAAATTCAATTTTGTACTTAAAAAAAAAAAAAAAAATCCTGACCTAACCACTGAGTCTGCGGGATCTGTATTCACTTGTATTTCACTTCAAATGATATACCAAACACATGCTCTATTCAGCTTGAAATGGAAAGTGCCCTGTATTTTCTGAGCTGAAACAGGACAACCCAAACTATGAGGCAGATCCAGCAAGCTCCTCCCTTATGTAGGACCTTTGCTTATGAAACCTATGCAATTCAGCATGTGAGGGAAGGATTGGATGTTTAGAAATGTTCTTTTGGAAAGGGTAATTATCCCATGTACAAGGAATCAAAGGCCAAGAATGATCTTTTCAATCTGTTCTACCCATGGAGCAGCTCCAAGCATACTTTATACCTTGTGATTATTTGTCTTCTCATTAATCTGATTAGAACCGTGCCTGATTACTAGAGCTGGGTGCCAGGGATTGGATTGTCCCCTATCAATAGAAAACACAGGCCCTCAAGTTATTCATTAGCTTGACCTACTAAATATTCATGTCCACATTTCTAAAGACATGTTGAGTGTAAATTATAAAATTCATAGATAAACACATACTCAAATGCAAAGGCTAATCTATTCATTTTTTTGGTTTAAGAAAAAAAGAATATGATGGTCAATGATTTTAAGGTCATATTTTCAAACAGTGAATCATAAATTTGCAGTTGCCATTTTCAATGTGATTTTTTTCAGTAAAAGAGTAAAATGTGTTCATGTTTACAAAATAAGCTTTACATATGCCAATTACATACGTATCTAACTACCTGAATTACATATCTTAATCACTTGTCTACATTTAAATATTCTAATAACTACAAAATTATCTCAACAATGCAGTAGTTGGATCAAGGCCAGTTTCAAAGTTGTACCATGATTCAGTCCTCACAAATCAAATCCTTAGAGCAGTGGTTTTCAGCCTGTGGTCCACAGACTGTGTTGAGGTGGACCTTGAAAGATGACTATGAACAATCAAAAGTATGTGAATACTCACACTTACAATTCAAAGGGGTCTGCACCTCCAATTAAAAGTTCCAGTTTCCATACCTTCATTCAAAATGTTTTGGGGTCCGCAAATGAAAACCACTGTTTTAGTGGCTTCTGTTAAAAAGAGTTGGCAATAGGGATTCTATTTCTGTCTCTTGGCCTGTTGCTTTTACATTTTTGTTTTATAAGAGATTGTATAGAGTACATATAATTGTCAATATATGGAAGAAATTATTTGTTTTCACTTTTCAGGAATGAATTGTCAAGACTATCTTATGAAAGCATTTGCATCCTTCTTTATAACCCCCTGACATCATCAGATTTACTATAACGTACCTGACTTAGTAAGACCATCACATTACAAATATTCCTCCTGTGTCTCACTGATGCTACAGGATCCACATGCGTGGAGATGAGGCTAGCTTTTTGCCATTAGTATCAAGGTGATCGTTGCCAAGACAAAACATTCCTTAGCACTTAAGCCCCAGATAGAGACTATAAGTAAGTTTTGGTTAAAAATTCCCATTGATCTTGTTTTTCAGTGGGAGCTTTTAGTGTCAATTAACCAATTTTTTTTCATAAGATGCTTGTCCCTTCTGAAGAAAAGTTTGATAATTGAAATATGAAATATTAGAAAGCCATTTTTGACTGATAACCAAAATATTCTCATTCAAATTGACAACATGGAAGCTTTAGTTTAGGTTCTTTCTGCTCCTGTCTATTACAACTCCCATGGTACAGGAACAGACTCCTACAGTAATCGTGTCCTCTCACAAGGTCACAAAAACCTTATTTTTTGACCTGCTTTAGTTGAGATGCTAGGCAGGATTGTATGGACGCCTTCTGTATACCAAAGATGATGGCATCTGCTCTACTTTGTATAGGCTACTAGCCAAAATCACTTGAAGCGTGCCTGGAAAAAACTAGGGATGGAGCATAGAAGGACATGAGACTACCAAAAGAGAGTAGTTCCAGAATTCACTCAGCTGCAATATCAGCACAAAGGGGATTTAGCTATTAATCCAACCCTCAAAATGGAGAAGGAGGTCTAGAGTCCTGGTATGATGTAGAGGTTGATTTCTCCTACCTTTTATAGTCCATTCACATTGAATTTGGTCACTAGAGTTTTTTACATTGGGAGTGTAAATCTAACATTTTATGTAAATCTAACATGTTATGCTTAGCAACCACAAAGTGAAATATGGAAAAGTCTGGTTATGGGCAAAATTAAGGTCTCTCTGAATGTCTTTGACTGTAATAAGGCTAAATAAGGCCAAAGTAACACAATTTCAAAGCATCATTTTCCCACTTGCTCAAGGATGTGGGTCTGTCATTTTAGCTCTACTTTACCATGCAATGAAGGGAAGCATACTTGGGGCCTGGTTTTATTCTACACTGAAGCAAATTTTCTAAAAAGGGGACATTTAAATAAGGAAGATTCAATCTTTAGCTACACTGTGAGAGGCTTGGAGAAAGCTAAGGTATAGTCATCCAGTTGTCCTGTTTTCACTTTGGACCCTGAACTGGCCCAAAGTGTATCAAAAGAAGTGCTCAAGTTATAAGGCCAGAATGGCTCTGTAGGCTGCATCCACATGTGGTGTGGATGTTTGGTTCCCCTTGAAGAACTAGCAGTGGTGCACAAATCTGGTTGTCAGGAGCCCAGCATTTTTTCATGATAAGGGTTCCTTAGGTACTCCTCTGAGCAGCCTGGAGGTCATTTTCTGCAGCATGGCAATGTAAAGGACCATGGTATTGCCACAGGAAAGCCCTAGGGACATTAATTCAGAGAATGTATTTTTTTTTTCTGGTCATATTTTAGGAATATTCCTTCAAATGGCTCTTTCCTACCAACTGATTTTTCTTTGTCTGATCTTGAAGCCAAATTTATTATAATAACATTTATTAGAGATTATTATATGGTAGGAAAAACTGGGAAATAATATAATAGTGTTTGAAAAATTCAATGAACTGTTTCACTGCTAAGTTCCACTACTGACATTTTACTCTGTCATATCTACCATTATGGCTTCATTGCAGAATCAAATGCAAGTAGATGGAATGGATGAACTCAGAGGAAAACCCCCATTCAGTACAAATATTATTAGATAAGAGCTAAGTATGACTGTGCTGGTGGGAAAAATAAGAATAATGGATTTGCATATAAAGAAATAACATTTTAAATATATATATATGTATAGTCTGAAAGGATAGACCATCAATTTTGAAAGTCTTTTGTAATCTAACAGTTTAGGGGTAGTCTGTCACTAGTCCTATGAAGTCAGGAAAGGTTCTCTTTCACAGTATTCCCATACAATGTGTTGTTTTGTGAGAAAAAAGCAGGTTTTCCATGGCCTAACCTGAAGTGTTGCTTGCACAACTCTCATTGGAATTCAGCAAGAGTGAAGAAGTCACTGAAGCAGTTGAAATAGTGAGATTTCATCATTCCCCATAATCAGATAACTTAATTTAGGATATGTAAATATTGTTGTCCCGACTTTGGAAGGACTCTACTTTCCAAAACTCTTAGGACCCAAAACTCTTAGGACAAAATCCATTGACTGAGATGTGCAAGAGTTTTGCCATTCAGGTCTTGCTTGAATTGAGGTGTTTATCTGTAGACACTGATCTCCAAAAAGCTTAGCTATAGTCCTTAATTAGAAATTCAGCATAAATACAAAATGCCAAAATGGAGAGCTGGTTATAAAAATTTGATATACCTTATTGCTGCATATTTCTTGTTATATAGAAACCATTAATTATTTAATGATCTTTAAATATTTCTTAAAGTGGGGAAAATGGTGAAAAATAAATGAGAAAAAATTCAAAAATTGTTTCCAGTTTTCTCTCTTCCCCCCACCCCCAGTATGGTCCACCACTCTCAGCCACTGTCAGTAGACCCACTAGCTGGAGGAAAATCATATATTCTGCTTTGGTAAAATTATTTCTGTCTATGGACCTTCATGAGTTTATTGTGCAAGGAATTTTATCAAGTGACTCTAGAAGTACCTTTCTCAAATCCTGTTTGAATGGAGAGAACCTAGCCACATAGTCAACTCTTGTGGGGGATGGGAATGAAAAAGAGGAATGTACTAGATCACATCATCTCTTGGGGGTGGGTGTTGGGGACACAGGAATGAATAGAAAAAGTTACCTGACAGTGTTCTTTCATTATGACACTATTCTTAGTACCTTGATAGTTTTCCTGTTTTACCTACTATCTCTTTGAATGCTATAGATATTGAAGCTCAGCAACTTTATTCTTATAAATCCTAGGATCTTCATTGATTCAAGCATCTTGAATATTTCTGATATTGATTAAACATTTCCACTAGCCTAACTGGTACAAAAAACATAGCTCCACTGATTTTTTTAAAATGTTTTTAGAATTGTGCTGATTTATACTAGGTGAGGGTCTGTCCAGTGTGTGTGTGTGTGTGTGTGTGTGTGTGTGTGTGTGTGTGTGTGTGTTGCTTGAACATTTCCTAAACATTTACTTGGGTAGTGGACAGAAAAGTGACAGTGCTCTAAAAATTATATATAGTTTGTGTTCAGTCCAGGTCCACTGGTGCTACTACTTTAAACACCTTCATCCATTAACAGTGTCTTGGTTGCATTAGTTGTTACATCCAAATAAGCAAACATGACTTACTGTTAATTTTGTTGACTTGGAGGTAGAAGTTTTCAAGGTTTTCACTGACTGTTGGAATACTCTTCAGTTGGTTAAAGGAGAGATCCAATTCAACTAGTGAGGAGATATTGAAAACATTGCCTGGTATTCCAGAATCTTCCAACTTATTGTGAGACAAACGTAAATACTGCAGGACTTTAAAACCCTGGAAGAACTCATCGGGAATGTTGCTGATCTTGTTGTTGTCGAAATATAGCATGAGTAAGGAGTGAGGCAGCCCTGTTGGTAGCTTTGTAAGTTGATTGAAGCTCAGGTCTAGATATAGAAGAGAATTCAGGCCTCTAAAAGCCCCAGAAAGAGCATCTCCTTTCAGCTGGTTGTTCTGTAGGTGAATGACAGTCAGGTTTACCAGACCTTCTAGTACATTGGGGCTGACTTTTGTGATCTTGTTGTGACTAAGTTGCAGTTCATCCAGGGTTTTGGGAAGTGGTCCAACAGCTTCAGTCAAGTTGTTATAATTTATATGGAGTTTCTTTAAATTCTTCAGTTTAGCAAAGACTTTTCCCTTAATTTTTGAGTTTTCCAAATGGTTATGATCTAGGATCAGCCACTGTAGGTCAGTTACATTCTCAAATGCATTTTCTTCAATGCCCTCAATCATATTGTTTCGGATATATAGGTATTTTATACCAGAGGGTACAATTGGAATTTTTTTTAGTTTAAGATTATCACAGTACATTGCAGTTGGGTAGGTTATAGGACAGTCACATTCTGGGGCACAGAGTGATGAAGATGGCACATAGCGTTCATAACCATAGTCTTCTGGATTATAGTCATATTGACAGAAAATTCCACTGATCAATGCCAGAAAGAAAGGCAGGGAGTTTAGATGCATCTTTGCCTTGTGTCCTGTCCTGTATAATGGAGAAAAGAAGTTGTAATTCCTCTGGCATTTTTTTTATTTTACAATCTAAAGACTATGAATAAAGAAGACTGAAAGGACAGATTGGGTTCACTGAGGTTATTAGCTAATAAAAATGTAAATAAATTAGGATTTGTTATAGTGAACTTTGAATTCTTCTCACATTTCTAAAATGATATTGCATAGCATTGGCAATGCACAATACTACTGTTACCAGGATCTTATTTAATTACCCACCTTTTTAATTACATTAGTTAGGAAATGTATATATAGAGGGGAAAAAAGTGTCCTTTTGGGCCTTTCAAGAAGCTGACACTAAAAATGTATGTTATCTATCTACTTTGAATATACATACTGAATGAAGTGAGCATTCATTTACATCATCTTCCAACAGTTTCATTTTTCATATGTAGATGCTAAATATACTGTGAAACCCCTTTTTAAAGCAAGGAGCCAATCAACAACTCATCTCAAATGGGTGGTCATTCTCATTTCAAAAAGAAAAAATTGTTTCATTACATTGGGGGATACATTGATGTGGTCTGAAATCACAGGAAATTACTTAACATCAGTGTTTTTATTATAATTTCTAAATTGCTTAGCTTTTCATTATCCTTTCACATTACACTACCAGAAACCAGTTTACACAGAGATGCTGTAAATCAGTCTAGCACTAATAAAGTTATCCTGAATTACATCAGCTAAACACATGGCTCCACATGTTTTTAGCTGATGTTCAGAATGAAGTACATGAAAAGCAACAAAAATAATTTCATGCAAATTAATACTTAAAGTGTCTTTTTTTATTCCCAGGTACTTTCAGAATGTATCTATGTGTAGCTTGGTATACATAGACCACTAGACCTTGATCTAAGATCTATACAACACTCCACTAGAATCAAGTTATTCCTATTGTTTGTATTATTTAATTCTAATGATTTGCTCAGAAGTATAAATAATACTGAGAAGCCCTGCAGAGTTCTCTAGTCTCAACGAGACTGCACATATACCTAACTCTGTTTCCTTGCTTTTTTTGGCTTGGCAAATAACCCTTGAACTAAAGCACCTCCAAGTAGGGCATATTGATCTATCATCCAATGCAATAGTTTTAAGGTGTTGTTACAAACACTCTCAGGGCATGTAATTTAGCATTGTAAGCATTTGAATAAGGAGGTATATTAAATATATTTAATCAAGGATTATCTTGTCAATATTGCCTAATTCTAGAAACTATTGGTTAGATTTATCATTTGGCCAAGTTTTAACATAGGTGGTATGAATGTAGTTGCCTTTGTCTGTTAGCAAATTTTGTATGAGAACACATCAGCTGAATCACAACATGGCCCATGTCCTCAGCTTCTCTAAGTAGGGATGTCTTTACAAAATCAGGAGATTTGCACTTCTTTACATCAGCTCAAAATACGGTCCAGTGTGTGGCAAAGCAACTTTAAGAATGGAAATCTTACTGTTTTGCTGAAAACATGGAAAGTTAGCATTATGGCCAAGAGTTTGGACTGGCACTCTTCAGCCTTATAATCTTTTATGTATTTGCATTGTTTTTGGCATAAGTAAAGGCCTATTAATCGAGGAGAACAGATGGTCTATCTTAACTTCAAATTCCTTTTGTGGTTTTAATTAATACTTTCAAATGGTTCTTTACTTCATTCTGGATTTCATATACATGCCACTTCTTTTAATGGCATTAAATATTTGAACTATTCAGTGAGAGACTGGAATAGATTAGTATTACAAATATGGTATTAAAATATGTGGCATATCATTAAGCAGTGAAGCTATGTGTGATTGTATATGTGTGTTGGTATATGTAATTCTTACTAAAACTATCAAAATAAATAGGTAAAACAGTTAATTAGTTTTATTACTGAATTCTTAATAAGTATATATAAAATGTTTCACTATTAAAATGTAAAAAAGAGAGATCATATATGTGCTAAAATGTTAACTTGAAAAACGATAAGTATAATTATAATGTCAGAGGATGTTCTTAAATATTTGTCCTACAGCAAAAATACTTTTGAACAAAGTATCTGATTATTGTATTTGTCATTTTAAAATACCTGTGAAAACGTCTTTGAGGTTGAATAGAAGACATGGGAGATGCTAAATTGCATCATTGCAAACCTCATAGAATACTCTCTAGACTGGCAAAGACCATAAAAGACAGAGTGAAAATACTCTTTAAAATACTGGACTGCACCAATTATATAAGCACTGTAAAAATAATTAATTACTAATCTTCAATATTTAAATGCATATTATGATTCTGCAACATCAGTTTCCCTTTCTTTTGGCTGTGATGAAAAAGAGGATTTTTTAAAAGTTATAATTAGATATTTTAAAGTTTTCAAAATGATAATTGAATTAAAATTCCAAATGAGCTAGAATTTCTCTTTTCTCAGCTGCCTAATTCTTAAATGTTCATGTACTTCATTCTTCAGTAAAACAGAACAGTAATGACTTACAGCATGAAGAAGATGGATAAGGTACTGTTGCTAACAGATTCCTGAATGAGTGAGTGAGAGTAAGAGTTTTTAATTTTCCTTGCATTGCATGGTAGATTTCCCTCTTTGAAAAAAACAATGCATGCGACAAAAAAGTGCAACACTAACTCACAGAAGTGAGGTTACTTTAAGAAAACAGTGAAAGCAAATCGCACTAAACAACTGCTGATTTGTGTTCAATTTACAAATTGGCAAAGTTGTCCTGACATGTTTTCATGTTCTCATTATAGCTACATTCAAATAGCAGAGCAATACAGTTAAAACATGCAACAGCACTTACCTTACAGCCTTGAAGCTGCTTTCTTTAATTCCCAGAGCAGATGCAATAAGGGAATCTGTATCGACCAATATATGCTGTAAATAGTGTCAGGAGGTAACTGGCTGCCAGAACCTCTAATACAAAAGCTAAAAAAACCCAAGGAAAAAAAAAACAGAAAAAACCCCCTAGTCACGCTGTTCACTGAAGCTGCTATGTCATCATGGTGATCTTGTGGTGTGGCATGTACAACTGCTGCTCTCTAATGAAGTGCAGGTGGATACTGTATACTGTAGAAGGACAACCCTTCTGTAATCCCTATGGAATAGGAGAAAGATAAGTATTTGACAGACCTGAGAATTTCAGTCTATTGGCCATAGACTTATAGGAGGAATGTAATATTGTATAGAAAAAAACATTTAAAATAATATACAAATTACAAACAGAACTTTTCTCTTTTTCAGCTTCTTTTATACCACTAGGCATGATTTTAAAAAATAGCCCTCAAACCTCAATGTAGTTATTTTGACTAAGCCAAATGACTCATTCATTTTGTCTTGTTTTTCTTTCCCCCAGACTATTCCCACAATAATTTAATGAATCTTAACTGAGGTTAAGATCCTGAGATAGGAACATTGGACTGGCAAGGACCTTTTGGACAATCAAGTCCAGTCCCCAGTAGAACCCAAATTGCATTAAGACTTTCTTTGTTCTGTAAACCTTTTCTTCAAACCATTATAAGGGAATGTTGACTCCAGTGATTCTTTCTAACTATTCAGTAAATACCAAGTCTAGAAGCTTGTTCTCTGATCTCATGTATGCATGTTTCTGAATTAAAACAGCCCATGAAAACTTTCCTGCAGTTAGTTATAAATTCACTTGAGTCATTTTTTTCCCCTTTTAGTTCTTAAAGCACTTTTCTGCTCTTCAGAATCTGGAACTACTCAGCTCTGTGTTGTCTGTTCCCTGTTTCATGGATATAGTTCAAGAATGCATCCTAAACTTGGATGGAAACATTGTTTTATCTGGACAATGCCAAAAAAATGCAATAAAAACATAAAATTATTAGCAGAATCATAATTGTTTGTTTCCCTAAGATTCATCCATACTCATAAATTGTGTCTCTATTGCCTTATGAAACGAAAACTCTCTCTCAGACAGGGTGTGTCTACTTGAACTATTTAATGCATAGTAGATGTTGCACGTCTACACATGCACCCCTCTGAGGCTGGAGTAAACTAATTTACTCTGCAGCAGGGTAGTACTTCTTATATACAAATATTATCATGCTGCAGAGTCTTTTACTCTGAAGCAGCACACATGTCGCTGCTGCCCTGGCTGGCTGGGGCATGAAGGTACTTCATTGTGAAGGGCTACCTGCTGGCTAGCACCACATGGAAGCACTCTCTTGCCCCAGCCAGCGCCTCTGCAGTATGCTGAGCCAGGGGGAGCAACTTCGGGCTGGCAGGCTGACCTCCCCAGGACTTTGGCAGCCGGGGCTGCTTCAACCTGGCTCAACATGCCGCGGTCCCAGGTGTGCATGCAGGCACAGCACCCAGGAGCAATGAATTCCGGAGCAATAAGCAGTAAGCTCTGGAGTTTATTCACGTACATTAATTGCATGTGTAGATACACCCACTGAGATACAAAAGAGAAAGCATATACAAGGTACTTTGACAATATCTGTAACTGCAGGCTGCATGGTGTCTGGGATGAAGCAGTACATACACTTGAATTTTAACCCAGATAAGATGACAAGTTTTGTTTGGTTTTATTTATCAGTACTTTTTTTCAGAACTTCCATCTCCCATTCATGTGTCAAGCCTAATGTTCAGTCCTGACTTGGCCTGCAGGAAAGGTCACATGCTACAGGGTGGGGTTAGGCCTGGAGATGCGTAGGACCTGTAGCCACTACTCCCCTCCTCCATAGGAGGGAGACTGCAAGTTGGCTTCACCTGATAATGCCAACTGAACAACTGAGCCTCCATGCTAAGGGAAGTCACCGGAGACAGGAAAAGGAGTGGTACAGATTACTTCCCTACATAAAATGATAAGAAAGTGAGGACTGATGGGAAATATCTGAGCCACAGTTCAGTCCCTGCTCTGCTGCTGGAGTGACACATTATGTGTTGCCCATCACCCAGGTTGGATTGCACAGTGTCAATCACTTGGAGTGTGCTGTCTTATTCTATTGTAGTATTACACCATGCCCATCACAATGATGTCTGAACATCTAGAAGGGAATCATCCATCACAAGTGGCAAATTTGGAAACAGGATCAGAGCTGCAATTTTATTTGAATGACAGACATCAACTGATTCCATTAAATTAATGTGAACAGTTGCACCTGCTGTAACCTTTTCTAGTCCCTCCCCACCACCACCGTGTGGCCTTGGGGTATAATTGTACAAAGGAGCCATCAGAGAGAGTAGCTGCAAGAGAAGTCAAGGAGGGGGCAGCAAGGTTTACACTCCCTCAACAGCCCAGAGTCCGAGAACTCTGCAGAGCTCTACCAAAGACACTGTCCTTCTTTATGAAGGCACTAGGACTCCACTGATGCCTCTCTCTGGTGGCTTTGAGAAAAGGCTATAGTATAGTCAGCCAGAGGATCCAGTCAAGTAAGAGCCACTGCAGAAGTGACCAAGGCAGGGATTTCTAGGGAACTTCCTACAGATTTTTAACAGGATGTTTTCTGCTAATTGTCTGTTTGCTGCAAAACTTTCCCTCCCCTGCCCTCACAACCTGCAACTACATTGAACTTGCTTGTGTGTTACAAGAATTTCCTCACCCTGTATTCGTATTATCTGATGATAAGCCCTTTGGAACAGAGATTGTGTTTATATAGCACTTTTTACAAGGTCCCATTCTCATTTGGCCTTTAGGACTAGTAGACACAATTAATAAAAATAGAAGATAACAGCTGACATCCTAATGATCTTTTCTATCTGTTGTGCCAGTCAGACTTTAAGTATATAGAATTTTTGTTTCTTAATGTCCTGTGTTGAAAAAAAGGAATGTGGGACTACTCAGATAGTATGCAATATGTCTGGTACTGTTTTGCTTTTTTCCAAGTGTCCCGCGCAATTGTATTCTTTTTGAGACAAGAAATATGTTCCTACTTTTGTTCTAATTTCTCTCAGCTCTACACCATTTTTGAATTCACTAATATTACTCCTATTTTATTTTTGTGTTAGCAAAAGCAGTCAGGCAATTTGTCTTCATGCTTGCCAAAAAGCACCTACAAGACTTACGATCCTAAGGTCTTAGTCCTAAAAGCATGTATGTGCTTACTTTTAATTTCACATGAACATCCTCATTCAGATCAAGAGCATTACCCCAGTGCTTTATCATTAAAAAAATGTGGGCAAATTCAGGGAGCTTGTAGAAACTTTTCTCATGCAAATTGAAAGTGGAAAAATGGACAGATAGACACCATGTGAAACTATTCACAAAAGAGAATTGCACAACATGATTCTTTTATAAAAATTGCCAAAAATACTTCATAAATGACAGCAGTCGTAAGTAATTGGGAGATGCAGTATCAAATGAGCACTGTAAGTGGGACAAAAGATATTAATGTTCTGCGAATAAACAACTGAACAACATCAAATAAGAGACATGTGGGAAGTGAGTCATCAAACCAAAGTAGAAATCAGTTCATGGCTTAAAAATTTAAAGTTTGGATAACAATGCAATGAAAGTAAGAAACATTTAATTTTGAAGAATAAAGAAATGCATTAATTTTATCTCCTTATTGTTAATTTCTAATAAAAGCAATGAAGAACATCAGTTAGTTTATGGGTTATGATTTTAATCAATCTACAAGACACTGAGGTGTTTATTTCCTTAGAAAAGGAAAGTTGTGATAGTTGCAACAATTAAGATGAAATAAGATCAACGTACTATTGATTATCCATATATTTATACCCCGTCTGTCTGTAACATCAAATTGCCCAATAAGTGTGGCTCATCTCATCAGTAGATATGCAAAACATTTGTATAATCTGTGCCTACTATAGCAGTCCTATTAGACACATTTACAGATATATTGCAGTTGATTCATTTTGCAAGTCTAGCTCCTACAAAGTTCAGCTGACATCTTGTTTTCTTGCACAGCTTTCCATTTTGCTGTCTGATTTTACTTAACTATGTAAACTTCACAGTTAACAGGAAGTGTTATGTGACTTTTGAGGGTAAAATATCACACAACATTCCATTTTCTCCAGATAATCTTTTAATTGCTCTTTTATTATGTGCATTTTCATACAACCCTTAAATATGAGAAAAGGGCACAAAGGCATGCTGAATCTTAGTTTCTAGAAATGAATGTAACAGTCTGCTAATACATTTAAAAACAAAACAACCCTGAAAACAGTGCCACCCTTAAAGTAAAAGCCAGTTGTGGATATTGTCATATTGTGAGACTATCAGAATACTCTAAAAGACTATTTCTGTTGTGATTTATAAGGTAGATATTTCACCTATGTTGCAACTATGTTGCTAATAATGTTTGCTTGTTCTTCCAGAAAATACCTTTTTACATTATAGTATATGTTTCTTTTAGTGATGTTTAATTTATTTTGAACAGTCATTAAAGGCTCCTTTCCTCCTATGCTGTTTCTTCCTGGTTGAAGGTAACTGGATACATTAAGGCTGCCTTCATTTAATTGTCATATCATAAAATAATTTCCATTAAAATTCACTGGCTCTGCCAAGGCACAAAACCGGAGGTAAATTAAAGTGGCCTTTTTCGGGAATATTGTAGGTTACTGCAAATTCATGATGTTTTCCTAGCAATCTATGTATGGTGAATGGAGAAAAATATGACATTGGCTCAACCCTTCAAAAATAATTAGCTTCGCATTTTTCTGAAATCTTGCATTGTTTTAAAAATATTACTTAATGTTGACTCATATCAAAAGAGTTCCACTAAAAACAACCCAGTTCAGGCTTGTAAGAGTTGCAGGCACTCATTATTTTTCAACTAAAAGCTTTCACCCTGTAGTTTTGTTTGCCCAATCTCTGCACTGCACTTACATTTCAAACAGAAATTGTTAGAGCACATAGTATGCGTATTACAGGGTTTGTGGTGATCCAAATCTTTTTTCCTTACTCCTAAAAAGGAAATAACGGCTTTGGAAATTTACGAAATGGTAGTACTGGTACAACCTATTAACAGACCACGAGACTTTTTATGTGTGTCTGGATCTTTGTTTTTGAGGTTTAGAAAAATTACTCACTGCAAACTCAATAGTGGTGACATTCCATGTCTTCCATGGCATTGCTTTTGTATTGTGTTGTATGCCATCCAATCCAACATGCACTATAGTTGGTGACTTCCATTGATTTCCCTGGGAGGTGGATGAGACCTTTTTAATGTTAAATTGTTCAGGGAAGGAGAGTTTCACAGAAGAAGGCAAGTTGGTTTTTTTAAAAAGTCATATACATCCTTATATGTTATCATATATTATAACATTTATAACATTTCTACTAGAGAAATTATATGCATCTCTGTAAAAGGGAGTGTGGAGGCTGAGGTTACTCAGAATGAATTTAAGAGGACCTTGGGGTTTTGTTTGGAATGTGTGGTTGGATAGGGTAACACTGAAGTAAAAATGACAGTGGCAACTCAGCATGTATTTCACAGTTCAAAGCATGGAGGAGAAAAAGAGATGAGGTCAGAAACAAAATGCCTTTGCCCATTGGCTAACTCTGAATGGTCTGATACTATAAACAAACTTTACAT